TAGATGAACAATTCTTGTTGCAAGAACCAAGGTAAAATGGTATAGATGAACAATTCTTGTTGCAAGAACCAAGGTAAAATGGTATAGATGAACAATTCTTGTTGGAAGAACCAAGGTAAAATGGTATAGATGAACAATTCTTGTTGCAAGAACCAAGGTAACATGGTATAGATGAACAATTCTTGTTGCAAAAGAGGACAAACTCCAAAACCAAAGGTCATCCACCATAAGTGAGAGAATGGTGAACTAGGTAACTCCAGAGAAAGACTTGTCAGCAGTTGGAGCTGCTAGTGGATTCACCCAATCACCTATCCAGGAAGAACTTCCTCAGCAACAGGATGGTCAGTGACAACAGCCCCCCAGTGGCACAGAGGTATGTCTGCAGACTTGCAGTGTTAGAAACTGGGTTTTTCTATATCCCTGGTAGGCAGAGCACAGATAGCCCATTGTGTAGCTTTGTGCTTCACAATAAACAAACAAACAGTGACAACACGAGACTAAATTCCATCCCATCTGTATACCACGGGGCTCAGAAGAGAAAACCACTAAAAAAAATGTGAATGGACAGTTTAGTGTTTTATCTTAGTTTATAATTTTTGTATGAGTATTGCTCAAGGGGCTTCACAATAAAAAAAAAGGAGGTAGTATTGTAAGCTATTGGTTTAATGTAATAATTTTTGTTAGTTAAATGGTATAGAATGCCTAGAAAGATCTAAAGATGTAATGCAAGTTTTCCTTTCTAGTATATTTGAGCCAGATTATAAAAACAAGATAGCTGTTAAGTGATTTTAAAGATTGAGAGTGGAATCAGTCAGTTACTTTCTACAAATAAATCAATTTATGTACTCTAGTACAATTTGTAATGTATATAGGCCTATAGCAAATTTATGGCATTGCCCAAATATTTAAGTTTTTAGACATGTTAAAGAAGGGAATAAAATAATTTATTATCATTAAATGGACTCACCGCTGAAATATTTTCACCAGATAATTTAAGAAGAACCTACAAATGAAAGAACTATTGTAATTAGTGGTTTCTTTTCTTCCTAGATGGAGAGAAAAATATTCATATGTATTTCTATTTATACCTGGACACAAATGTCACTTATCCTATGAATAATGAGGCACTTATTACGCTTAGCTCACCAGATTCAATTCCTGATATTATCAATGATGCATATTCTGTGGAGCCTGGGAAAACACATACTTTTTCTGTATCTAAGGTGAGTAATAATTCCAGTGTAGTCATCTAGAAAAAGACTGTTAGTAGCTAAAACCTTAAACACCTTTGTAGATTTTGCAGTGATAACTCACCATCTTGCACAGAATTCACTATTAGGAAGGTGACACAATCTCCATGTGCAGCAACTCCCCTTACGTACTTGCACTCATGGTAACTTCATTCTGGTTTCTGAAGGATCATTGACTGTCAAGAGATATTGCAGCCATTGTTCAAAGTATTGAGGATTACATGTTTACTGAGCATTCTGCTCCAATCCTGTTGGCCAACATTCTTTGTCCTCAGTCAGAAGTGATCTATTGGACTATAACTTTAACCTGATTTGCTTTGGGTAGTGACTTATTAGTCGAGGAATAACCTTGACCTCTAATTTCTTTCTGGATTCTATTCTCAGGAATGTTCCTTTCCTTATGTTTTGCCTGTGTTCATTAATATTTTTCTTTTTTTGCTCCATAATCCCAATTCATGGGGTTTACTAGATTTTCTTCAATGGTTGTTCCTTTCTGTAATAGTTTCTCTCTCATACCAAAATGCCTTGTCCCCCTCACATTTGTAATTCTTTTTGTTCTAACTTGTAGACATTTTCCTTTTTCAATTCCCATCTTTAACTGTTTGGACTGCTTGGGGATTGGGTCCCTTGCCTTCCATTTCACTTTCTGGTTCCCCATTTTTGTGTCTTTGTCTTTTTCTCATCACCCTCGTGTATTCTCTCTCCTATTTCCACCTTTTGTATGAGGTACTTCATCATGTTCCAGGGGGTGTTTTATATAAAAGCTCATTCCCTCCTCTTTGTTAGCTTAGCCTGTTTCACTTCATCTGCTCTGTTCCTACTTACTCTCTTCCCCTGATGTTTGGATATGTTGGGTGAGATTACATTCGTCTTTACACTTTCATCCACTTTGTATACGTGGTCTTCATCAGACTCCCTTTCTATGTTTGGATGTCATTGGTAGTGTTCATCCTCTCTCTGGAGACCTGGACTGATGTTGTATGACTTCAGTCCTTGTTATCTTCCCAAGTTTTCCTTCTTTTTTGACCTTTCCCTTTACTCCTGCTCCGCGGGTTCAAATCCCAGTCCCACCAAACATTCTCTCCCTTTCAGCCGCGGGGGTATTATTTAATGTGAGACTCAATCCCACTTCGTTGGTAAAAGAGTAGCCCAAGAGTTGGCAGTGGGTGGTGATGACTAGCTGCCTTCCCTCTAATTTTTCACTTCTAAGTTAGGGATGGCTAGCACAGATAGCCCTTGTGTAGCTTTGTACAAAATTCAAAACAAACACCAAGGTTCATTTCTTTCATGACACATTTAAGTTTATTCCCATCCAAATTATACGTATAATTCAAGTTATGATAACCTACATACATTATCTTGCATTTATTATAATTAAAACCCATCTTCCATTTATTTGCCCAATCTAAATCCTTTAGTAAATCAGCAGCATCCTCTTCACAGCTAGCAACACCAAAGACCTTAATATCATCTGCAAATTTAAGTAATTTATTGACCATTCCTTCATCTATGTCATTGATGTAAATCAAAAATAGCGAAGGTCCTAAGGCTGAGCCCTAAGGCACCCCACTTGTGACATTAATCCAG